AATAAAGGAACACAAGCCTATGTTAAGTTAGGTGTTTTTAAATTTATAAACAGAATCTTAAAATTCACAAGGCAGTGTTGTTTGGAGTTCTCTTTCCTAAAAGCAGGAATGTTCCATTAAATGCATTTATGGGTAAGGTATGCTGAGTTCCTGATGTGGATGTTGCATAATGATGACAATTATACAAAAGTTAGACTGATACTTTCATTTTGTGGGATTTAGAATTAATATAATGAAAAAAACCCTTAGTTAAGTAATTAAACTTATAGCATCCAAAACCTTGATGCCTGTGTCTCTGGGGCTTACAATCCTACTCAATGATACAGAACTAGGTTTCAATTCAGATAACACTAAATGATTTAAAACATTCAGGCCCATACAGTAATGAAATAAACATTATAATTACACTTTGTGAGTGTAATTATAAAAAATATGTTTTCCAGTCTAGTACTGGCCTGGTACAGGGTGCTTTCAGATGATGGTTCCCTGCAGAATGAATCCCTGTGCTCTTGGAAAATTTTGGCTTGTTATGAGAGGTGAGCTTTCAACCTCAGTGTACTTTCTTGTGAGTACCTAACAGTTCTGAGTAGGTTACAGTTTACTCACGTGGCTGTTGCTTCTCCATTGGATTCATGACAGTAGGCTTTGGGGTTTTTTATTTAGTTATTTCATTTTTCATGTCTGCTGGTGAGTTACCTGTGGAGCTTCCAGCATTTTTCTGCCCTGATACACAGGGTATATTTCCATTATTTTTCTGGAACAAGAGTTGTAGGAGCAGCTAGTCTTTGTAAAGCTGGCTTACAACTATACTAATTTCCTGGAGTCTTTGCGTGAAGTATCTTGTATAGTCTTTGAAAAGCAGAGAGGTATTCTATATAACAAGATAATTTATGCTTCTCCCAAAATGTAGCAGCTTAAGAACCAGGAGGACAAAGAATTTTTCACAACAGAAACTAATGTCATCTCCATGCTCTGCTAGCTTCATTTAGTTAACCTGAAAAAGCTACAGCTTTTGAGGAGAATATCTCAAACCCAAAATATTTGCATATCATGTATTGAAATAACAGTCCATTAACCTCTCAGTAAAGAATTAATTTACTTAAAATTCCTTTTAGTTACATGTTATAAAAGCTTGTAGAAGTGTTATGGCATAGTCCTCTTGTTTTAAGTATAAATTAGCATAGTCAATTAAGGGAAGCGGAAATCTTGGGTTAGTTTCTCTCTGGAACTTCAACAGTGTGGCCAGAAAAAGAACCTAAAATACTTTTTTACAAAACACTGCATGCTTGGACCTCTCTACATGGGGAAGAAAGCCCAAGCAAACCTGCTTGTGAGTTTATAACTTCAAATTTCAAAATTTCAAGGCATTGTAACAAAGAGCTATAATTATGGTATGGGGTCTAACCCTACCTGGCAACTAAGCACCACACTGCTGCTCATCCACTCCTGTCCCTGCAGTGAGATGGAGGGGTAGAATTGCAAGGGTAAAAGTCAGAAAATATGTGGATTGAGATAACAGTGGTGTAATAATTTGGGGAGGAAAAAACCCAAACCAGTAACTAAGAGGAGAGGAAAATAAAGCCTGTGAAAGAACAAATGATGCAAAAGGAAAAGAATTGCTTGCTGCCAAACAGTGGATGCCCAGCCAGTCTCTGAGCAATGTTAGCCCCAGCCAACATCCACACATGCCCTCACTCACTCAGTTTTCATGCTGAGCATGGTGCTATGTAGTGTGGAGTATCCCTTTGGACAGGTGTGGTAAGTTGTCCTGGCTGTGTCCCCTCTGGCTTCTTGTGCACCCCTGGCCTGCTCACTGGTGGGGTGCTGTGAGAAACAGAAGAGGCCTTGATGCTGTGTGAGCCCTGCTCCACAGTAACAGAAACATCCCTGTGTTATCAGCACTGCTTCCAGCATGAATCCAAAACACAGTCCTCTACCAGCTACTATCTAGAAATGTAGCTCAATCCCAGCCAAAACCAGTGTACAGTATGTTATCAGGGTTCACTATAAAAAAAGCAGTTATAAATAAGGTAAAATTGTTGAGGACTGCAAAAAAGAACATGGAATTAGACAGTACTACTTGAACTCTTGTGAAGGAATGCTGTTGATAGCCTAGGTGCTTGGACATTTTAAAAGAAATTCAGGATCAAGTTCAGGATTCTTCCAGTTGGGTGTAATGTTTTCTACAGAGGCAAGATGGATTGCTCATTTGAAACCTACTTATCCATAGTGAAGACTGCTAAAATATAGATGCTGAACTGAAAGATGACTCTCTGTTTTCTAATCTCAAAATACCCTGAAGTGCTTTTGAATCACAAAAGAGAAGGTTAACACAATGATGTATTTTCTTTCTCTTGGAAAATACCATCATGTGCCAAGGTGACTTGGAGATCTGTAAGAACTGTCACCATGTGTTCTTTGATCCAGTCTTTTCATCCGTACAGTTCATGTGGAGGAAGTGTACTGGCATGGCATGTCACTGCAGCGAGCAGGTGTGTGTCTCATTTCTGAAGGAAAAAACCCTTCAGTCTTAAGAAAACATTCAGTTTTAAAAACTCATCTTTTCCATTCTTTTCAAGGTTCTTTCTTTTTCATAAATATTTTCTCATTAGTTTTTTCTCAACCAATAGCATCTCTTCTTCAGTTGATTACAGCAGCTTATAATACTTTGCAAAGCAGACAAAAAAGCAGATATTTGCTTAAAGATTGAAAACGTGGTTCTGCATTTGAGAGCTTATGTGGTACAGTCCCACAGTCCCGCTATGATGTGAATGACAGTCATGGAAATTGATTTGTGCCTTTGCTTACAAAGCATCTCTTCTCATGCAGGTGTGCCATTGGCACACAATTGGAGGGCTTTCTGGCTTTTCAGAATATTGCCTTTTGATCTCTTTCCATTTGGTATTGGCTTTAGAGAATTGTTGGCAGTGGTTGTAGTCCATGTGAATTGTGACAGAGTTCTTTATAATTGGTAACTTTATATGAAGTCTTACAGATGTGGAAGAATTGATGAGTGTTTTCAATTTTTCTGTCTTATGGCAGACTTGAGGGGGGAGAGGTATTTGGGGAGAAATTTGAGCCAGGGACATTAAAGCTTACTCTACCCTACTTTAAAAACCTTAAATTTACTTTAGAAATAATTTGTAGAATGTTAGTTTGGCTGGATCATTGAAAGGTGTAAAATTCATTGGTCTTGACTTTGTGCATTTGCAAGACTGTACATTTGCATGACCCTAAAGGGACTATTTCCTTTTCATTTTGTGAGCTAGATGGGTATGAATTTTTTTCACTTCCTCAAAATTTTTTTTTCATTCATTAGGTGTGGAAGAAGTGCATGTGAGTTTGATGGGAAGAGTATAGGTTGTTATTCTTGTGATGGTAGTAGTAAAAAATAGTAGTGATGGTTTTCAGCATTTGAGTACATAAGAGGATGATCAGACAACTAAGGACACTGGAATTCTGCAAAAACATATTGTGTGATATCAGTTCCCCTGAAGGGTAAAAGCAACATTGAAAACATGTCAGTATTTCCTGCACTTGTTTGAAGTCACTGAAGCATTTGAGCAGTAGGCAAGAGGGTGTATCATGAGGGGAGAGTGTAGACACAGTAGTGTGGAATAAAGTTAAGAAATATTTAGAGGTACTTTGAAATCATATTGGTTGGTTTCAACAGATAGAATTAACACATGTAATTCCCAGAGAAATAACATATTCCCATGGCATCTAAAGGTTTGGTGGGGATTTTTCGAGGGGAAGTTGTTGAAAAGCCCAGGCTCTGCTTCCAGAGATGAGTGGCTATATTAATGGTTTGGTGGTCTGTCAGATAGCTAATCTTTTTAATAATCTTGATAAATTTAGAAAAATTGTAAAAGCAAGCAGCAGTGTCAGTGGCTCCCCTGTGACTAAAATGAGTTTGGATTTGCATTCTGGTAACTGGAGAAACTGGAAAGCAGCTGTGGGTGTGGATAGCCTGTATTCCTTCTCCTTTTTGACAGTGATCAAAAGTGGATGCCTAATACAGACCTAAGGCAGGGTTAATATATACATATAACAGATTTGTTCTCAGCCTCCAGCTGTTGAGGAACTTTTTGGGCACTGTTAGTTTCTATGTGTTTAGAATCCACGCAACAGATTTCTGTGAACACAGAAAAGAAAGTTCTTCTTTCTATTGCTTCCCTGTCTGGTCTTAAGGCATAATAACTTCATCACCAATTTGTGTGTGCCTGGCTTATGTCACTTTCAGTCATTCCTAACAAACAGCTGCAAACAGTATTTGTATCAGTGAAGGTGATTAAATGTGCAGTGCGAAAGCGTAATTTAATTTTCTGTGATTCTGATTATCACCTGCTTTCTTAAGCCTTTGAAAATTCTTTTGGCAGTTCATGCCTGTTGTCCTTTTGTGGCAATGCATCATTTAGATTTCCAACTCCAAGTGGGAGAAAGTTAATTTTTTCTCTCTTCTGTGTCAGGGTGGTTAACAATGTGTGTATTAGAATATCAGCCACTTACAGATGTCAGCTTAAACTACTATAACTTGTTCATCTGTGTCTGCACCATAAATAGGAAACTGACTGTAAAATGAGTTGGCTAAATGGAGTCACTGGGTTGTGCTGGGTGAGAGTGGCTTCTGAAAGTTCTGGTGGGGGTGAACTGTTCAAGGGCTTTTGGGTCAGATGTCCCCTAAATGGAAAGTGTAAAAATTTTGTTATGAAAGCGTAAAAGGTAGCTGAAGTTAGCAAGAATTCATGGTTTGCGAAATGCTTTTGCTCTTTAGCTGAAGAATAATATAAAAGGTTAATTAAATAAAATCGGAGATTTATTTTGTCTTACTAAAGTCATATTTTCCTGGGCTCTATCCATGCTATGTATATATAGAATACACTACAAAATGGATGGAGTGTATGGATGGAACACAGTAAAATATGGATCATCAAGAGTGGAGCAGGAAAAGAAAAGCACTTTTGCTTAAATTCAGAACGCTTTATTCATTTTTTGTGTCTGAGATGGTTGAATTATTATTCAAAGCTGCCTTGGCAGCTTCAGAGTTGGAGTTTTCAGATGGTATTTCTGGATATCCGGTCATACCATGACTTGAGTGACTTTAACATCTTCCGTGGTTGACATAAGGTAGAACTGTATCTTGCTGCAATCAGCTAGGTGGTTTAAACTGCTTTCAGAGCAAGATATATATTTATTATAAATGTATAAATGCACACACACATTGTATTTTAACATTGTATTTTAAATACTTAGCTATTGTATTTTAAATACTAAACAGCTTAGTGATACATTAAAAAATAATACATTTTTTATTAAGTAAACTTTTGTATTTGTACAATATGAAATGTAGCTGGGATCCCAACCTGTTTAGCATTTCCAAAGTGTGACTCTTGTTTTCATGGTATTTATAAAACTGCTTAAGCTTAGCAGGGAACTTATGCTAAGCTGCTGGGTATTTCACAGAATATTAGTTAACAAACATCTTAAATATTACATAGAAAGTGAGCCATAGGTTATTTCTGCAATTACTTTGTGACTATTTGGTGACAGCTGAAACTAAAAGCTTAGCAAAACTTCTGGTCTTTAACCACTGCTGCAGCTTTTGTGCTTGTTTAGCTGCAGCATAAATTACATATTCTGAGCTCCATAGATTAATGATGAACTGAGTTCCCTCTGACAACCTGTCCTGCTGTTCTGTGTGGATGATGCATGTTTTAATGATTGTTTCTGTTAACATGTTGGCATTTCTTCTAGTTAATGTCATGTTTCAGTGAGCCAGGTGTTAAAGTACCATTAAGCTGCATATAACAAACACCAGTAGCAGATTATTAACTTTTGAATTACTGCGGTCTAAGCGTGTTAGCATTCAAAATGATTAGCAGGGAGTTCTGAATGTGAAGTGTGATTTAGCAGAGGGATTATGTTAGTAAGTTTTACTTCCGCTGTAACTAACAGAAAACCAGTCAGGACTGTGTGGTGGTATTAACACTGAAATGCTCCATCTAGGTGCTGCTGAAAGCTTCAAGGAAATACTGATTAGGCTAGGTTCACAAATTTTGGTGGTGATTTTTATATATCAAGACTATGCTTTGGCAAAATGGAGGGAAAAAAAAGGTAGAAGTAGGCTCAAGTGAAAATTTAGTTACTCAATGGTGCACAATACAACAAAGTTCTGAAGGAGACCAAAAATTCAGCCACTATTTCACGCATATCTTGTCTTTAAGACTTTCCTCTGTGTGATTCAGAAAAATACTTGGTGCTTTCTCATTTTAGGAGCTGGGTTTGTTTTTTTTAAGTTTAAATCACAAATTTAATGCTTTCATTTGTGTACTGAATTTAAAATTTAATCTAAGAAGTACATTTTGAGGCTAATTTTGCTAAACAATTTGCACTATTCTATGTGTATTTTGAAATGCTAGCTCAACACTAATTTATTCCTAAAAATTATTCAAGTGTTAGCAGCTAAATTGCATTTTTATTAAAAGAAGTTAAATTAAAAATTTAATTAATCTGTTCCTAGTGAGTAAAATTTTCCCCAATGCAGTTTGTCCAAAGTGCTTATAATGAAACCAGGCAGAGAGGTGACTCAGCTTTCCTTTCATTTCTAGTAGTGATTACATTTCTGTCAGACCTCAAATGGTCCCTGAGATTTCTTTTTTTATATCACAGCTTCCACCGCTGTTAGCAGTAGTGACTAGTGACTAATTGCTTGGATTTCGAGGACTGGGTTGTGCAACTCTCCTTAAAACAACTATTAGTGAGACAAAATAAGTGCTGATAGCCTGTTTACAGTAGCTGGGTGCTGCTGATGATTGGGAGGGACGTTGGTATTAAAGCAGAAGTTGTGACAAAACATCAGATTTGTCACTCTTAAGCTGGGCCTGGGGTAGACTGTGTGAAAATCACTTTCACTTAAAGCACGGGAAGGAGATGGCCACAACCTGCAGAAAGCAGCATTTGACCTTGGCTGGTGCCCACCAGAGTCTGGTCATGTGCCAGATAAATCTTTGGTGTTGTGTCTGCTTGGGATGCTAGTCAGTGAAAAGTTTGGAGTCTTCATCTCCTGGCTGGCTCAAGTCCTTTTGGGGTTTTGATTGTTTGTTTGGGGTTTTTTAATTGTTGGTTTGGTTAGTTGGTTGGTTGGGGGTTTTATGTTTGTTGGGGGTGGGGGTGCTTGTTTTGGTTTTTAAATAGGAAATAAACCAGCTTTGAAAAGGAACTATGGAATGATTAGGAAAAGGTGGTGATAGCAGCTCTCTGAAGTTGCATTAGTACATTTCTTTGTACTGGTGAAGACAAGAAGACTGTTTAAAATGAATAGCTTTTCATAGTAAGTAAAGGATTTCTCACAAACACCTATTTTTTTTCCCTGAGAAAATGCTTGGTTTCTCTTAAGCTCAGTTCATCTTTGGTGGACTAGGATAGCTAATGCAAGAGTTGAATCTTGTTAGGAAAATCTTAGGAATGGGGATTCAGGAAAGATGAGGCTTTTGCCCTTGAAACTTTCTGACCCTTCAGAGTGTTGCTGACTTTATCTAGGAGATAAGATTTACTCATTAATCAAATCCATTAGGGTCTCATTGAAGGTATTTTTAGAAAGAGTAGTATGAAACTGTAGTAACAGGTGTTGCACTTCTGGACAGAAAAATATAATAGTTTATTACATTGAAGCTCATGATAAATTTCATTTGCTAAAAGTTAGGTATTGAGTGTCTAATACTGAATAGATTTTCTTAAATAAAATAGGTTGTCTTTCATTATTTAGAACACTCAATGTATTAATTTGTGTTGAAATTTGGATATTCACAAGTACCTGGATATTTAGAGAAAAAGGCTTAGGAATAATAAAATACAGAGTTCAACAACTGGCAGATCCTTTAAAAAAAAAGTTTGCTATTGAATTCCTCCCCTGCTGTTTCAGGGTCTATTTCTGGTTCCTGCTTCCAGCTGCCAGAATCTTGAATCTTTCTCCATTGCTTGCCAGGAGAAACAGGTGTGGTGTGTGCTTCCTTTGATCCCTCCTCTTGGAATCAATGGCTCCCTCTGCAGTCCTCTTAAGAGAAGCTAAAGTGTTTCAGATCCTCTGCCATTCCACCTTTTCTCCTTTCCTTGGGAGCAATACAAGAGATCCAGGAGCTCTGTCTTAGCTCCACCTTCCATTCTTTTTCTACATATTGAGGACAACTGCGTTTCCTCAATATGGAAATGAGTCAAGAGAGACTCAAGGCCTAGAGAGCAGCACCTTTTCCAAATGTTGCAATGAGCCAGAGCTGGTGAGGCTGCTGGTTGCTGTGGATGGCTGGAACTTAACAAGAGTTCTGGGCTCCAGATTTCTTTAAAAAAAGACTCAAAGTGTGCTGAAGAGGATGGGGTGGTGACAGAATAAAGGGAAACTGAGAGACTTGTGGGGAAGAAATGTGCATAGGAATTGTATAAGAACTGTGGGTGGAGGAGAAAAAGAAGAGTATTCTCAGCTAACTGTGGCTCTTATGTGCTGTTCCTCTCTTCAGTTCATCCTCAGATAGCCACTTAGTCAAAAACTTGAAGTACCACATTCTCGTTCTTTCTGCTGTATGATGTCATTACTGTCAGTGGGAAAATAAGGCCTAAGCATTTTAATTTTGAAGTATTTTTTTAATCTTTAATTAATAGATAGCTGGGCTTAAGAACAAACTTTATGAATATGTAAGCAATGCTTTTTGAATTTTATTGGAATTTTACTTGCTCATAAATTGTTTTCAGAAGGCTCTTTGTCAGATATATATCTTTGAATTAAGATTAACTACCCAATAAAGTGACTTTTAAATGTTGCAGGAAGAATGTAAATGGGTATGACTTTATGAGCTTATTCTAGATATTTTAGGCCATTAAATAAGCTGTGTATCACTTTCTAGCAAAAATTTTAAAACTTGCAGAATTCCAAGTGCAAAACAGAGATCACTGATCATCAAATTGTTTAACATATGCAGGCAAACAAAAGAAAGTTAGAATCAAGGTTCTGCAAATAGAGGAAGGCAGAAATTGCTGCACTGGATCAGGCCTGTTGAATGATCTTTATAAATAACTTCTCCTTTCACTTTGTAAAAGCAATGACATTGCTAGAAACAGAAAAGCTTATACTGCTATTGTTTCTAATCCTCTAATACACAGATAAATCTTTGCACATATAGGTACATAAACCATAAAACCTGCAAAGACTTGTGAAATTCAGTGTTGCAATTTGTTCAAGAACTAATTTTTTTGTCTGCTTAGTAATACATTTTCTCTGTGTATCCTCTTACAGGTGCTCTTTTGAGAGTGAGTAGGGTTTTATTTACATTGTAATAGCAAAGGGGTGATATTTCTTACAATACTGTCATGCTGGTTTTTTTTTTGTGTATGCCTCTGTGCTGTTATCTTGCATTGAGGGAGATTTGCCGGCCAAATTTTGGATTTTATTTATATGAAATCTCCTCATTGCCTGCACCGTTCTCTACTCTGAGCTCTCATGTTTTTGGAGTGTTATGGAAGGGGTTTGAGTCTTCATTGTCTCTATTCATAGACACTATTCTAAAAGAGGGCATACTATAGATCTGCTGCAGACTTTTCAGTGTTTCTTCCTTCAGCATAACTTATTTTTTCTTGGTGGTTGTTCTATTCTGTTGGCATTTTTTTCATTATGCAACTTTTTAAGATATTTTTCTTAGACTTTTCCAGATTGAAGTACAAGTTCTTGCTGGGTTGGGAATTCAGTAAGGGTTTTTCTCATGGATGTTATCTCTCAATATTAAACTGAATCTGTTCTTGGGTTCATAGGATTGCTGGGAAATTCAGGTTCGAAGAGACATTCCAAGGTCTTCAGTCTGACTCCTGGTCAAAGCAGGGTCACCTGTGAGGTCAGACCCTGTTGTGAGGGATTTTTCCTAGTCAGTCCATGAAAAACTCGAAGCAAGGAGACTGCAAAACTACTCTAGGCTATCTGTTCCAGTCCTTGACTGTCCTCATGGTGAAAATAAGTTACCGTGTGTCCATTCTGGACTTCCCTAGTTTGAGCACGGTCTCACTGCTTCTTGTCCTGTCACAGGTACCCCTGTGGTGAGCCTGACTGCTTGCTGACCTCCTTGTAGGTACAGACACTTGAAGGTCTGCACAAAGCCATCTCTTCTCCAGGCTGAATCAGCCCAGCTCCCTCTGCCTTTACTCACAGGACAAGTGCTCTGGCTCCTTGAGCATCTTGGTGGCTCCTGTGTCCACGTTCTAGGTGTACTTCTTGTATTGTGGGGGCCCAAAAGGAAGGTCATTAGACCATGTCTGGAATAATAAGCTCTGAGTAGAGGTGGCAATCAGTTCCCTCATCTACTGGCAAAGTTCTTCTTAATAAAGCCTGGGATGCTGGTGACCTTTCCTGACAAGGCTCACTGCTGGCACATGATCAGCTTGCTTTGTGCCAAGACCTTTTCCATGGAACTGCTCCCCAGCCGCTCATCAGCCTGGATTGTTGCCAGGGCCTCTCAGGTGCAAGTGTTTTGTGTTTGTCCTGTCTGAATTCATACAAATCCTGAAGGGACCACTCCTCCAGGCTGTCTAGGTCCATCTGAATGGCAGCCCTGTCTTTAGACTTGTTGATTGATCCTCTTCACCCCTGTTAAACTTTATCTTAAAATTCTGGCTAGAATATACCTTACTGGCCCTGCAAGGCATTGGCAAAAATATTTAATGGACTTATCCTAGACTCCTGCAGCACTTCACTTGATACCATCCTCAGGCAGCATACAGCACTTTGTCCTCTGAGCCTCACCAGCCAAATGTTTCCTACAAGTCTAGCTGTTTATCCATTCTCAAAGAGATATTTTCTACTTGACTAATAGTCAATTCCTTGACCTTCCCATGACTTTTTTTAGTGTGTTGATGAATTTTATTATTGGCTTTATTTATCAATGAAACACTACCAATTAATCTTTATTTTGTATATTGTATAGTTTCTGTCTTCCTGAGTACTTCCTCATTCAGTTATTAATTTTTTTGTGAACTTCTTGTGAGTGTCTGTGCTATTGTACCATATCTTCTACAGTTTTTAATGATGCATATTTTAGTAATTTCAGGTACTTCTGTCTACTATCTGAAGTATAGCAAACTGATTTAACATTTCTTAAAGTAGATAGGGTTCTCTAGTTGTTTTAAAAGAGATTGTGCCTGGACCAACAACCTTGTTCTTAGCTCAGGTCCTTTATTATTTGTCATTATTTTTGTGTGTGTGTGTGGTTTTTTTATGATATCTCCTTTTCTACAGCTTCATTATATTGAATTTATGTTTTATATGGGAATCTTGTTAGTTTAGCACTAAATATGCTGTTTGTAGTGCCTCTTTACTCCCAAAGGCTGCATTTCATCTTCCCAGTACTGGCCACAAACTGTTCCCTTGCTTACCATTCCTGTGAATTGTACTTGTCTCATACCAGCAACAGGCTAAAACACCTCCTGTGTAAGAGTAATTCTTAAACATTTACTCTCACTTACAGAACCATGCTGTTTTGCAATGTGGCCACAAATCTGTAACTAGTTTACCCATTGACACACTTGGTGTTTCAGCATTTTGAACAACAGAATTAAGTGGAATGGATGTCTTTAGCTAGACAGGTGTGAGTCCAGCTGTTAGAGCTCTTGTGAATCAGGTATGGACTGAAGTACAAATAGATTTGTGCATCTAATATGGTGGGAATACATGGATAAAAGTCCAAGTTATTAAATAACTGTAAATAAAAATTTTCTTGTTTTCAAACATTGTTTTTACATCAAAATACTATTTGGACTGGGACACATGGGGGTACATGTTTACAAATGTGAATTTATACATATTTGATTGACTCTCTGTCTTATGGATGTCATTGGCACCTTACAGTTCCACACTTTGTCATTTTGTTCATGGTTTTGCTTAGGGCTCTGCCTGGGCAGTCAAATAACATAATTTCTTGTATCCTTGTTAGATGTCCATATGCAGATTTTGGGGTTTTGAAAGTATTTTTGACCTGACAAAAGTATTAATGTACAAATGAGTAAACTTGACTCTTTTGGGGGAGGGCAGGGGCACAAGGGGAAGTGGCTGATGGATTTTGAGTTGGTTTGGGGGGGTTTTGCCCTTTCAAAGACTGACTAAGCTGTGTTATCTTAACTGACTGAACAGTGCTTCTCTCCTCTTTCCAGTTCAATGTAGTGGCATGGATTTGTGTGATTATGATTCAGTTCTTTGTTGTGTGCCTTATTGACTATTGCAGTGGGACCTGTTTGCTGGCTTCACATGAAGTAGAGCATTGCTAACTGTATCTGGATATTTATATAAAATACTAATTGCATGTGTTGAATTTTTATATAAAGAGAAGAATGTTTTTGCTACTTGTGCAAGAACTTCTGTCTGAATTAAGTGATTAAAAGAAGAGTGCATAATTAATGAATGAGCAAATATAATGTAATTCTTCTTTCTCTCCAAAAGAAAAATCTATGCTAAAATTGATATTTTAAAAGCAAACAATTAAACATAAGACTTCCTTACTGCCCTTGGAATCTTCGAACAAGAGAGCCAAAGGAAATGCCTACCTTATGTTGTCATTGGAACAGCATTTATTTGAGGTTTCCTTAGGCCTCTTTTTTACCCTGCTAACTAAGCTTCGTGTGCAGTTAAAGTCTTTTTTCAAAGAAAAGTTATTTTTCACAAGAAGTACTCTGCTTTTGCAGCAATTTCTTTCTGTGCTTAAGTTTCTTCTAAAATTTTAATTCTTTTCTATACTTGTTGATAAACCTTTTTTTTTTAAATTCCTGCTTTATACATAGGGAAGAAGTGGTAGAAATAATACTTAGAATGACAAGGGAAGCCCTTAAGAGAGCAGAACATAAAGCGTATGTACCTTGACTGATAGTATTCTGCTATAGCCATTAAACCATTCTTTTTCCCTTGCAAGATTTTTCTGAAATTTGTGCTATGAAATGATACCATAGCAATGAGGTTGGAGATGTACATATGTTGCTAAGAAACTACATGATCTGTTCTGGACCAGCCACTGTGGTAAAGTGGCTGTTTGGAGTTGTTGCATATGAAAGGGGCCACTTTAGGTGATGTGCGTTTTGCTCCACCGATTTCTGACCTGCAATGCTTGCCTTTGCAGATGGAACATGAGGATTTTGTAATGGAGGGGCATGGCAAGACTCCACCTCCTGGTGAAGAAAACAAACAGTGAGTCACACGTTTATTTAAAAAGGGCCTTACCGTAGTAAATGGTGTGAAGCACTCTCGTTTAAGCGTGCTGGGAGCATTGGTTGGTTGCTTAGTGCTCACCCTTTCGATTCCTCAAATATCCACATATATATATAATAGTAGATGGTGGCTGGGAAAAAAAAAAAAAGAGGCAGGATGTTGATTTGCCTTAAATGTAAAAGCATAGAAATATGCATTGCAATTTCAACACATGAATCAGAAATAGTTGTAAAAGGGATAATCATTCTGGAAGCTTGGCACTGACGTAGTAAGTTTGTACATGAAGTTTTTATACAGCTGCTCTTCGCTGAAATAATGTGAAATATTAAAGAACCAGGGCCTTCCTTTTGGTGTGCATGTGGCAGATTGGTCCTCTTTGAGCCTTATTTCTTTAGAATGCATTTTAATAAAAGATCAAAAATTACAAACAAAACTCTCTTTTGAGGATGAACAATATAAGATGCTGGTACACAGAGCTTTAGGGAAAGCAGCTTGATCAGAGAAGAAAATCACTGATTTCTGTTAGGAAAAGGCTTTTTCATATGATTTCAAACTGAAATCCAAACTGGTTTGACTTTTTCCCTGGGTTTTTGTTCAGATAGGAAGAACAGAGCCTTATCCTAGAAGTACTTCAATGATGGCTGTATTCCATATTCTTTTCATTAGTTAATGCAATGGTAATTCAGTTTTGATACCATAATTAATTTTTTTTCTTTTCCTGTCATTTGGAGGGAACAGGAAGGTGGCCTTTGGAAAATCTAGATCATAGAACTCTTTTTTTCCTAAGCCTAATTGGATATCTCCTCATGAGAATTTCTTGTTGATCTTCACTACACTTGTTGCAGAAAGGCTGGGATGTGGCTTGGGGTGAAGGTCTACTTTGCCTCCTAGATAAGCTGGCAACAGATGCAGTAAGTGCACTGCATCTGTGACAGTGAGAAACCATTTCTGAGGTAGGCAAGTTGAGGTCAGCAGAGTTCTAATGCTGAATGTGCACATTCTTTCCATCATGGACATGAGCCAAACTTCTCAAAGTAATTGTTATTATTTCTATCTATTCAGATTGAGCAACTTACTGTGGTACCAAGAGATACCAAAGTTGTTGAAGTAAAAACTTTCAGAAAGTTCCAGAAGAAAAATTTGAGCAGAAATAAAAAGTAGGAGTTATATTTCTGCTCTTCTGAATTGTTTCTTTATATATCTAGTAGTTTAATGAAATACATTATTATAGTGAATAATATGAGGGATGTTGTGTTGGATTTGATATAGCCTTGTGTTTGTTAGGTGTCTTATTTTAAGTGCAAGTGGAAACTATAATTACTTTGGAGTTGATCTGATTTTTAACTGGAGCTTTTCAAGTGGCTTGAAACATTATCTCTCTTCTTGAAATCTCTGGTTATTAAAGAATGTGAGATTAGTGATAGGTGGTATTTTTAATTTTTAACTAATAAAATTGTGCTCAGGTGGCATCTGGAACCTTGTTGTACAGATTCTGCTGTAGGAGTATCATTCTTAATAATATTTCGATTCAAGTCTAAAGGTGCAATTTTAGTAATGCAACAAAGAGTTGAAGGTAGTTGTTTTATGCAACTAATAGTAGCATAATGCCAGCAAAATTCAATTGTGAGTATTGCTCTTAAATTTAAATCAATCACTTGAATATTTCTCGACCCACAGTATCAAATTTTCAGCTAACCAACAAAATTGTCTGCCTTGACAGAGTTTACCTTTTGTCGTAAGAGAAGGAAGAAAAAAATCTGAAGTTACTTCTTTGTATTATTACTTACTTGCAGTGGGGATTAGCTGGACATCAACATACTGGACTGGGTTTTTGAAAGAGGACAGAGAGGAGCTCTGGAGCATCTGACAGAGGAGAAGCAGAGAAAGCTGTAGCTGTTTAGCCTTGAGATAAGAAAACTTGGGGAGGATATTATTATCATGTGTATAGGTATCTGATGAGGAGACTAAGGAAGATGGAACCAAATTCTTCACAGTGGGGCCATGTGGAGAGGCCAGAAGCCATTGGCATAAACTGAAATACAGGAAACTCCACTCAAACACAAGGGGAAAAAAAAGTTTCTTTTTTTAATGTTAAACATGATCAGACCTTTAGAAGAGGTTACCCAGAAAAGTTGTGCCTTCATAGCCCTTTAAGTGACTGAAAACTCAGCCGAGCACAACCCTAATTCTACTTCAGCCTGCTGTAGTTAACCATGCTTTGAGCAAAGGCATGGTTATCTCTGATTATCCCAGAGATCCCATCCATCTGCAGTGATTCTGTGATTTGGTGTACCCATGTCTACTGTTGTCCTCCTAGTTGGCTTGAAATAAAATCGGAGCTTGTTAGTGAAAGGTACATTCTAAGTTTGAATGTAGAGTCTCTAATTCAAATGTTCTCTACAGAAATAGCTGATCCACTGAAGATGCTTCCTTCCCTTTCCAGCTGTCCTTAGACTTAGTAGAACTTACTGCCTCTACAGCTATGCAGATGGAATGGTTTTTCTTTGACTGCTTCTAGTTTATTTTTCAGGCAAGTTGGCCATTGTAATTTAATTGCCTTTCATTAGGCAGCCTGATCTGGGTAGCTCTGCACTGACATTACTGAGGAAGTGTTCAGAAGGTATGGTTTCAGCGTGGGAGTGAACTTGCACCAGAGTTCCAGAGTAGTCTACCACTGTGACCTCCTAGGAAAGCCCTGCAAATTTCTTACTATTTATCTGCATTTCTATGGGTTCAAAGCTTTACTGGACAATGAAAGAACAGAAATAAAAAGATGCTTCTGAGAGACTTTCAGTGGATGCAATAGTTCGTACCTAGCCCCAGTTTCATGTGAAATTTCCTTTGCTAAAGTATAGCTTCAAAACTGAATATAAGGAGCCAGCATCCATGGATGATTTCTGGCACTTTATGAAACAGATTATTTCCCCAGTTTGACTCAGGGATAAAAACTTGGCATTTTTGCCTTCTAGTATTAAACAAACACACACACAAAAAATGCAAACAAACCCAGCAACAACAAACAACCCTGCTGCAATGTTGTGAGCCTTTTTTCTGCTGTACTGGACAGTTCTTTTGGACAGATACTGAAGTTACAGCATTTTAAGATTTTTAATTGAGCTGTAGGTGATACCTGAGAAGTGCTGTCTTCTGATACCAGTCACCTTTATGCCTTTATGGGAAGGAATTAGCTGGTTAAACTGTATACAAGGGCTTCAGAAATCTTCAACTGATCTTTTACAATATGGATAGAATTTATTTCAATTTAAACTAATTATGAGGAAGTTACCTATTTAACATCCTTAGTACAAGTGAGAAATAGAATGGCCACAGTCATCTCAGTCCCGTGAAAGATTTGCAGTTTATGTGCAGTGCATGTGTCATGGTTGTGCAACAGTCAAGTGATTTATGCTAAAAGCTGAACTTCAGAAGAAGTGAGCCTGCTGGGGCTGCTGGAGCGGATCCTGGCCATCTCACACCGTGCTCCTGCTCTGGCTGAGGGCCAGCGACTCCTTGATAAATTGTTACTTCCCAGTTTTTATGTACTCTGTAACCTTCTCCCTTCTTAGCTGTTTGGCATGGGATATAACTGTATGTTATGCTTAGTCATATAATTTTCTTATGTGGCTAATATGTTTGGTAAGAAACCCATTTCCTTCCTTCCTTCCCAATGAAGAAAGATGTCATTATGTTTAATTACAGGTGAACATTTTGTTAGAGGTATTCTCTCATATTTTCATTCATTACAAAGAGGTTGACCTGAGCTGGCATGCTTAGGTAGTAAATATTATCTCCCCCCACAAAATACTTACATTTTAGATGGCAGCAGCCTGTAGTGCCCTTATCAGTTGTAATAGGGCTTTTACTTTGCTACTGCTGGAGCAAAGATTAAGAGGCAAATGGGATCCAGAAACATCTTTTCAAAACAGTCAAACATCTGTTGATGAGCATGGGGCAGGAAGAAGAATTCTGCTGAAGTCCTTAAATTGAGGTTCTGCTCCTAGCTCTAGCAGCATTAATTAGCAACTCTCTTGTGCTAATAAATTACCACCTGCTGTCACAACCAGAAATGTATGCACCTTAATGAGTGAAAGGGACGGGGTAATGAAAAACTACTCCTCTTTATAAGATAAATGTAAGTGTTTTACTCTTCCTAACTGGCACATGGAGAGGTCTGTTTGACAGTAGCTGTTCAGACAAAAAGTGAGCCAAGTTCATACTCACATTCAGTAGGACGGTAAGCCAAGCTGCTACTGCTGTTTGAAGTGCCTCAGCTGGCTATTCCTTACCTGCTGTTTTGTAGTAATGGGAGAGAAAATTCTTCATCTCTCTTGGCAATTTGTGCATCTGGAAGTGATTCACATTTTAAGAAAGGTATCAAAACAAGATAATTTCTGTAATTTAGGAAGTGTCATTGGTTAGACCTACTGAATAGGCTTTTCTCTGGCTTGATAGTTTAATATACTGATTCTGAGGCAAGGGTTTTTAATGAAGCCCTCCAAAATTGCAGTAATACCAGGATGAGATTGGAACCACTGAGCATCACAAAATTGTTTAACATTTGGTAATAGTATCTTATTTTTCTTTGACATTTCAGCAGGAAGGTTCAATGTCTTCACAGATTTGTGTGACACTACAGTTAAAAGAAAATAGTAGCTAAATTGGCCTAACCTGGAAACAGGAATTACAGACTCCAAAAGCCATCTTGTCCCAGTACTGTGTCCAAAGAGGGGGGATGGGATGGAGGGGCCAGTTTAAAGGTTAGATTTAACTTCTGAGTTGTATCAAGCTTCTCAGGTTTATTCGAGAGCTTTTCTGGACAGTCTGTTGCAATATTAATCACCCTCACAATGAAGAAAATTTCCTAATATTCAGTAAGAATTTATGATCATTGCCTTTCATCTTTGAATGTGTGTATCTGAATGTGGCCCAGTCTTCATTAAAACTTACCCCTGTGTTCACTCATACAGCAGACTAGCTCCCCCCTCCCCCTGGCTTAGTTTTGCTGTGGGCAAACTAAGTGAAATCAAGAAGCCAGTTTACAGGCCAGTCTTTGTTTTCAGCAGCCTGCTATGTCAGGGGCACATGTAAACATCATTGCTTCAATGGCACAAAAGAACCAATCTTACCCTTCTATGGTGTTGCTGAAAACTATAAAATGGCTGCAGTGGTATATCCTGAAGTTGTCTGGTTGGGCTGGTGACAATGATAGACATTGTTATGAACTGCTGCAGAGTTCTTTTGAACGGTTGAAATTCCACGTGGTCCCTAGCATAGCTTCTGTTCCTTTGGGATAAAACATTGTTCTTACCAAATGTAAGCAGTTAGCTAAAAGCTTGTGTAACAGGGGATTTGTTTGATGTTTTAAGGACATTCAATATTACAGAAGATATTGAGGCTTGCCTTGAGTGCCATTACACTTTTTAAATTTAATGGCAGTACTGACCTCAGCAGAGGCTGGTTTTTGTCAGAAGATTCATGCTCTGGTTTTCAAAGTAGTATCCAAATCCTAATTCAGATTATCAACTTAGTTTTGAGGTACCTAAATTTGCGTATCAACCCAAATTCTGTGAAATGAATGGCAATTTATTATTTCTTGAATTACATTCAAGAATTATGTAAAGGCATAGCTGTCTTTATATTGCTGATTGTTCTCTGTGTGTAGAATAACTAGCCCATTAAAGAAATGTCCCCAGACATTTAAGTCCTCTGCCTGGGATCCTAACAAGTCCCCACAGGGAGATGTGGGATGTCTGTGTTGGCCATGGCAGACCTCTCTGCCACAGGCTGCTGCAGTTCTGTTTGTGTGTCAGACTGGGCTTCAGAGCCAGTGGTAACTCAGGCTTGCTCTGATACTGGCATGTCAGTAGGAGAGTTCTAACTTCTTTCTTTATACCGTTAGAGATTTGATAGGGTATTTAAGGGTGTGAGATCATGAAACTAAAACCAAATGAAAACTGGTCCAGCTAAGGATTAAGGAGTATTTTCATCACCTTCTTACTATACAGATGTTTTTAGTCCATACAGTGGAGTGAGTGACAGGACAAGTTTGCATTTGAAGGCAAGTTTACCTGTGTGTTTAATGGGCCCTGAGGCATAGAGAAAAGAATTGTCCTTTTGTTTTGCAATTGAGTAGGTAGAAATGAACAAGACAGGAGCGAAATCTGTATCTGTAGAGGCAGCTGTGTTTTAGCTTGACTTGTAAGTCAAAAAAGTTACAAAAGCTGACTTGCACCCTTACAATGTAGTACTTCTGAACAATATGTGGAATTTATACACAAGCACTTGAAAATGGCAAAAGCTTCATTGTCTTCCAGATTTTACTAGTTCAGTATTATAATTAAATGTTTTGAAGTTTTTGTACTTAAAATTATAAGTATTACCCACAGGAAGACTCTTGTCTGAGTATTCTAAGCAAAGCTATTTTAAAATTAGGCATTTGCTTCTGAAAGTTAGACTTGAAAAGGCTTTCAGTCGTCATTTCATGATTTTTAAGACTCCACATGTCATGTCCTCAGTGATTTTATCTTTTCTTTTTTTCCTTTAAAATCATGAACAAATACAGTCCTTTCATACACCTCAGCTAGCCTACAGCTTCATGTACTGCTGTTTTGCAAGTATTTTCTTAATACGTGGAAAGAAACGGAAGCCAGATGAGCGACCGTTAAGGAAAAAAAAAAGGAAGTCACACAGAAAATGTCAACTTTGGAAGCGAAGTTCCCACTTGTTATCACAATGTGTTTAGTCTACACCGCTGCTGGAATATTGAGAGGAAAATATTTTGGGCAGTGTACATTCTAAGCGTGAATGCTTTGGCACTTCTTTGCTGAGGATTTTATGCTGCTCTCTTCCAGATGTCTTGTGGTGAGAAACAGGCTAGTTTGTTTGGGCTCTCCCCACACCCTAAGATCTGCATTTGTCCTGTTAGGAAGTGCACAGAGCCTGCTTCTGAATTTGCAGTCTGATCTGATCAAGAGACTGCTTCACACTTGCCTTAGTGAAAATGTATTTCCCTTCTAGATTGCTTGATTTTGTGATGGTACTGCAAAATACCCATAGGGTCACGTATCCTTGATACTTTGATTGTTATCTCTAGTTATTCCAGTTAGTAGTAATTGTGATTGCTAGTGGAATGGAGGATATCCTGATATGCTGCTGTCTTACAGAGCTTACTGTACTTTAAAGGGGAGAGTATTTGCATACTGATCAAATTCCTAAAATCCCAAAGCCTCTGTATTCCAGACACCACCACCCACTTCTCCACCTACTCCTGTCCTCTAATCCCTTTCTAGGAATTCCAGGAAAAACTATCTGCTGGACACTCTATTGACATCCAGAGTTCCTTGTCCAAGGAGTTGGGGGCTTTTAGGTCTGTTTGATTAGTGGCTGTTCCTTTGTTCCCTCTCACAAAGTTGCCAACTTCCTCAGGAGGTGCTGGGATAACTGCCCTCCAATATATCATTTATATGGGTGGCTGAACATTGCTCTCTTTTCAGCATTTTGTTGCTATTTAGATGGCAGCTCTTGGATGACACCTACCATGGGAGTCAGTTGACAGACTTAAAGAATAGCAAGCAAAATCATCTAAGGTGTAGTGGTAGACTTGGCAGTGCTGGTTGATGGTTGGACTTGATGGTCTTGAAGGTCTTTTCCAACCTAAATACGATTCTAAAATGGGCTTTTAATAATTTTGAGTCCTGTCTAAATTAGCATTTTGTCTATATTCTTAATGTAAAAATACAGTTTAGATGAATTTCTGTAGTGCCTACACCAAGTTAGTGCCACTAATTTTGATTTGCTAAGGATTTAGGTTTTGGACTGCTAGCACAAGTCAGTGGCATCATAAATGTGTATGAATTACAGTCCTAAAATTTTTTCCTCTTTTTGCATCAAATTTAAGATGCTCACTGCTTTTTTCTCTGCTTCATTCTGTCAAAAAAAAAATCATCAATTTTTTGGTATTTTTTGTGTGTATACCCACAATGGTTAAATGGTGGACTCTTCCTTTCAAGGAGATGAAGGAAGGAAAGGGGGAAAAAAACACTACTGCTTTTATGTCATGTAAATGAGTTTGTGATGTCTTTTTGTTTGTGTGGAAAAAATAGGAATTTTGATGACTATGTACTGTGACTTAGGTATACCAGAGGTTAAAGTAGAGACAGGTAAATGGTCACAGTTCTAAGATGCAGATGCCTTGATGAAGTGACCATTATTGGTTAAAGAAAAGGAGGTAAGGAAAAAAAGCAAGCTCTTTATTTCCATGGAAAAGATATTACTTACTTTGTATGACTAAAAATATTGTATTGTGTGGTAAACATGGTATGAATTAAAAACTTGTTTACAGAGATATTTTGCAGGTCTTAAGCTGCATTGCTCCTCTGGCATGCTGTGATCTGGAGAGCCGCTATGATTTCTTTTTCTCCTACCTAAATAGATTGAATTTGCTGGACTCTTTGCCCTAAGTCAAAGCTGTTAATATTTGGGAGTCATACTGGTTTTTGGGTTACTGCATGCATTTGAATATTTGTGACAGTTACAGCTTGTAGAATTTTCTGCCTGGATAGCCAGCTGTTCCTTTCCTGACATTTCAAACTGAAGGACTATACATGAAGGCAAATTACTCAGGGAAGATGTTCAAGTCACTTGGAAAGATCCATTTATAGATTTTTGCAGCACTAAATAGTGCTTTATTAAAAAAAAAAAAAGTCAAATTAGAGAAATCCTCTCTTACAGTAATCCACTCAAAATACATTGTTTTCATATTCTGCTTTTACTTTTGGTGTTTTGTTTTGGTCTGGCTTGCTTTTATTATTATTATTTAACTTAGCATATTATGGTTCCTTTAATGAGAACAAAGGAAAATGGGTTGGTGCCAGCTTCAACCAAGATGCCAGAAATTCCTTTGCTCACAAGGTTTCCGGCCCAGTGATTGAACTCCCCATGCTAAAACTAAAGACAAGTTAGAAAAATTTGTAGCAAGATAGTGGGCTATCTCACCAAAAATAAATTTAAAAAAAACTCAAAACAATAAAAACCACTAAGCACAGCACAGCCTCTTTTTAGCTAGGGAAAAAAAAAAGATTGAACTAGAATAAGACTTCCAGTCCAAAAATCTTCCTTGTCTTTTCTGATATATCCTAAAAGTATTTGTAAGAAATCTGGTTTTAGTGGAGTTTAGGAGCATGTCTAAAGGCACCGTATAAAGAAGGGGTCCTGTTGTGGTAAAGTTCTTGTAGACACGAAAGAAGTTTTTTCTTAAATATTCTATCCTGGTCAGATGAAAAACTTGCTGTTTTTTTTAAATTTGTAAAGCTCCAAGGCTTAAACAGGGTGAAGGAAGGCTTTAA